TTATGGGAATGCCCACATTTAATCCACATGGGTTCAATGTGCTAAATATCTGGGAAAATACATATCGGCATGCCCATATTTATCTACATGGGGCCCACATGCTAAAGACCCTGGCAGTTGAACATGGGTATGCCCATATTAATTTCGCATTGGGCCCATGTGCCAAATATCTGGGAAAATACTTATGGGCATGCCCACATATAATAAACATGGGACCCATATGTCGATTACCTGGGCAAGTAAATATGGGAGGCCCATATTTAATCTAAATGGAGCCCACATGACAAATATATGGGAAGTTACATATGGGCATGCCCATATTTAATTTGCATGGGACCCATATGCCAAATAACTGGGCATATAAGTATGGGAATGCCCACAATTAATCCACATGGGTTCAATGTGCCAAATATCTGGGAAAATACATATTAGCATGCCCATGTTCAGTCTACATGGCCCCATATGCCGAATTACTGGGCGGATAATTATGGAAATAATACCGCATTTACTCCACATGGGGCCCATGTGTTAAGCGCTGGGGAAATACATGGGCTTATGCTAGTACTTAATTTACACATGCCAAATAACAGGGAAGATAACTTTGAGAATGGCCACATTTAATCTACATGTGACCCATATGCCAAATATCTGGGAAAATTCATATAAACATGTCCATGTGCAATCTACATGGGTCCAATATGCCAAATTACTATATGCCAAATTCCCATAGGGCCTATGTGTTAAATACATAGAGGAAATAATATTTGTGCCTGTGTTTACTCTACATTATTATATAGCCCCATATGCCAAGTAACTGGGCAGATAGCTGTAGGAATATGTACGCCACATGGGGCCCATGTGCCAAATATCTGGGAAAATGCATGGCCATTCTTATTTTCATTCTACATGGGCCCCACATGCCACATACCTGGGCAGATAATTATGCCCTGGATTCCTCTCTGACCCACTGTTAATTATACTTTATTTTTAAGACGTTATACGTAGCTACAGTTATGACATGAATGCTCCATTGCGGTACTTTTTACTTAATAAGTGTATGCGCATGCTCAGTAGAAATACCAGTTTGAATGAAGTTAGCGATGATCGGACCATTGGACTTAAGCCAATGAACCAGCTGTCTTGGCAGTTCCGGTGTCCTGTTTCAAGTTTTGAATTCACAAACGAAGCGCCCATTCTAGTGCCGTCGTCTTGTAGGGAGTGTAAAGGAAGGAAGATTCATAGGCCTAAGAAAATTTGCCAAGTCACAGTGAAGTAAAAGTAAGTAATTTATACTTGTGTAACCTAGGCCTAACTGTTGTTGAATTCCCTAACTATCTATACTAAAATGTGCTAGGCCTAGACCTAATTCGCGGCCAAAACCATTGCATTCCCTGGGCCTAGGCCTAGGCACGTAGTCGTAGCCTAGGCCTTCTTGTTTAAGCGTATGCTGGCCTAGTTTCTTGAACTAGTGTTGGATCGCCAGTTAACTCTCTGGCTAGGGGCATAAGCCAAGGCATATCCTACGTTTTTTGTCTTATTATATTTTTCGCCGGTGTATAGGCTAGGCCCTGTCTACCTAACTAATGTCATTGTGTATAACTAGGCCTAGCCTAGAGTTTGTGATGTAACTTTAGTATAGGGGGCCTGGCTGGCAGACCCTTCCCACCCCCAACCAAGCATAGGGGGCCTAGGCTGTCCATATGAGTCCACATATACACCGGAACATAATGTCATTGTCAAAATACTGAATTCCAACATGATGGAGTGCATTACAATTCAAAGCTGTTTTCTGTTTCTCAAGCATAAAATACTACACTTTATTTAATGGAAGTGGATATATTTGGGTCATTCTTCGCTAATGTGCCATTTTAGAGGTTTAGAAATCATGAAAAAAAAAGTTTAACATTTGTAATTCTTTTATTACACATGTCATCATTATGCCATATAACAACTATAATAAACATTCGGCAGGATAATT